GGTTGGGGTGTACTCACAAATCCCAACCTCACCCAATTGTGATCCCCCCAATCTCCCATTACCCAATTGGAGATTCCGGAGATCCCAATGGGGATTCCCTCCAATTCCCCCTTCATCCATTCACTCTCACCTTGCCATGTACTTATAGAGCCTTGGGCTCCTTACCTAATCAATAATTTCAACTCTATTTCTTACATGGTATTTCAACCACTTACACCGTACACTAGCCGACATCGCTTCCAAGAAACTTCTTCTTGGCCTCCCGTCAGCGCTTCCTCCACCAACAGACTCACCTGCACCCACCTGCCTGGACTGCACCAAGAGCAAGCTCAGGCAGCAGCCTCACCCTTCCTCCCCATCCGTCACAGCTGCTCCGCTGGACCTAGTGCACATGGATGTCTGCGTCCCAGCTCCAGTCGCATCCCGAGGCGGTCATCGGTACTTTCTTACACTAGTCGATGACCACTCGCGGTATGAATCTGTGCACCTCCTGCATACCAAGGCGGAGGCACCTGATGTCATCATGGCGTGGGTGCGCCAGGCTCAAGTCACGTTTGGCACTCCTCTGAAGTGCCTCCATTCTGATGGCGGGGGAGAATTTCGCAATGGCAAACTCGATAACTTCTGTGCGGCCCAAGGGATTCGGCAAACCTTCACGCTCCCCGAAAGCCCGCAGCAGAACGGCATTGCAGAGAGCCGCAACCACACCTTGGTTCAGATCGCTTGCTGCCTCCTCAGTCACGCCAACGCACCACGGTCACTCTAGGGATATGCCCTCTTCCATGCGGCACTCCTCTACAATCTTTATCCGCATCCCCACCGGCCCGACACCACACCTACAACTCTCTGGCTTGGGGTCACGCCTTCCGCCCACTCTCTACGCGTCTGGGGGTGTACCACGTCTGTGTTGCTAAGCCTCTACACGCGCAGGAAGCAAGGTGGCAAGCTTGGTCCCAAAACCCAGACCTGCATGTACCTGGGGCACAACTCCGACTCCCCAGACTACTTATTCCTCAACCCAATCACCAGACAGCTGATTCGCAGCCGTGATGTCGTCTTCGATGAGACACGCCCATTCCACTCTGCGACCACGGGCGAGCCTCCTCCACCTCCCCCGACGCTTGTTTGGGCAGACTTCGATGCCCCACCTCCGGCCGCTGCCCCTTCTCCGGGGCCTTCTCCGTCCGGCGTGTCTCACCCGGCCTCCCCAGTATCCTCCGCAGCGGCAACTCCTCCTACTCCGCCTTCCCCGCACGTCAAGCCCGGCTCACCAGTCTCCTATCGGAGGCGCCCAGTCCCTCCAGTCCCACCGCAGCCGCCTTCGTCTCCGGTCTCTAGTCGCACTCGTTCCAAGAGACCGCAGCGGAGCAGCTGCGACGGATGGGGAGGAAGGGTGCGGCTGCTGCCTGAGCTTGCTCTTGGTGCAGTCCAGGCAGGTGGGTGCAGGTGAGTCTGTTGGTGGAGGAAGCGCCGACGGGAGGCCAAGAAGAAGTTTCTTGGAAGCGATGTCGGCAAGCGTATGAAAATTGGGGTGACCCAAGCGATGGTGGTAGAGGATTGTTGGGTTGGCGAAGCTGCGACACGAACACGGAGTGGTGCTGGCAGCTTGCGCTTGGGAGAGGGCGGCGAGAGGTGCAGGTGAACGCAGCGTGTAGAGCTTGCTGCTGTTGAGTGTGAAGCGTGCTAGGAGCTTCTTGGACTTAGGGTCGAACAGGTCACAGTGATCCGAGTGTGCTGGGAAGATCGTGGTGACGCCTGCCCGTTGGAGCTAGTTTTGGGCCACGAGATTGTGGCGTAGTGTGGGAACACACATGCCAGTCACACTGCCCGAAGGAAAAGCTGGGCACGGAACTGTGGAGGAGCCCGTGGCGTGTGTTGTGAAACTGGAGTCTGCTCCAAGGAGACGGATTGGTGTCTCGTATGGCTTGAAGGAGTGTTCTTCCTTGAGAACCATGTGAGTGGGCCCACTGTTGAGGGAGAACTCTATTGTAGCTGAGGTGCTTTGTAAGCCAGGATACTGCGAAATCGTCTCATTAATCATGGCAGTTCCAGGGAACAACATGTTGAGGAGGTGCAGCCACAGCAGCCTGCACGGATTCCTGCGCTTCGACTTGATTGACTTGGCGAGGAGCACGATTGACCATCCAGCTTGGCGCCTTTGAGGCAGTCCCATTGACGGCATACCACTCGTCACCCTTCTTCTTAAAGCAGGAGGCAAGGGCGTGGTTGGTGCCGCCATCCACCTGGCCAGCACGAAGGCCGTGCTTGATGACGTAGCGACACGAGGGGAAGCGGTTGCACTGGAATGGCGCCGAAGCGGCATAGGCTTGAGGCACGGGAGCGCGGATTGCATTGGCCTTGGCTTGAGCGCTGTTGTCCTTTTCGGCAGAAAGGAGCGTGGATGAGACCTTGGCAAATGTGAGTTCTGCAGGAGCAAGGCCCACGAGCATCTTGTGTGTGACTTCGTTTGCCGGAGTGAGGCCGAGGCCGACTAGGAGAG